ATGAATGGATAAGTGGAAGGTTGGGTGGGTAAGTGGAAGGTTGGATGGATAAGTGGAAGGTTGGATGGATAAGTGGAAGGATGAATGGATATGTGGAAGTTTGGATGGATACGTGGAAGGTTGGGTGGATAAGTGGAAGGTTGGGTGGATAAATGGAAAGTTGGGTGGATAAGTGGAAGGATGAATGGATAAGTGGAAGTTTGGATGGATAAGTGGAAGGTTGGGTGGATAAGTGGAAAGTTGGATAAGTGGAAGGTTGGATGAATAAGTGGAAAGTTGGATGGATAAGTGGAAGGTTGGATGGATAAGTGGAAGGATGAATGGATTAAGTGGAAGTTTGGATGGATACGTGGAAGGTTGGGTGGATAAATGGCAAGTTGGATGGATAAGTGGAAGGTTGGATGGATAAGTGGAAGGTTGGATGGATAAGTGGAAGGTTGGATGGATAAGTGGAAGTTTGGATGGATAAGTGGAAGGTTGGGTGGATAAGTGGAAAGTTGGATGGATAAGTGGAAGGTTGGATGGATACATGGAAGGTTGGGTGGATAAGTGGAAGGATGCGTGGATAAGTGGAAGGTTGGGTGGATAAGTGGAAGGTTGGATGGATAAGTGGATAGTTGGATGGATATGTGGAAGGATGAATGGATAAGTGGAAGGATGAATGGATACGTGGAAGTTTGGATGGACACGTGGAAAGTTGGATGGATAAGTGGAAGGTTGGATGGATAAGTGGAAGGATGAATGGATTAAGTGGAAGTTTGGATGGGTAAGTGGAAGGTTGGATGGATAAGTGGAAGGTTGGGTGGATAAATGGAAAGTTGGATGGATAAGTGGAAGGATGAATGGATACGTGGAAGTTTGGATGGATACGTGGAAAGTTGGATGGATAAGTGGAAGTTTGGATGGATAAGTGGAAGGTTGGGTGGATAAGTGGAAAGTTTGATGATAAGTGGAAGGTTGGATGGATAAGTGGAAGTTTGGATGGATAAGTGGAAGACTGGATGGATAAGTGGAAGGTTGGATGGATAAGTGGAAGACTGGATGGATAAGTGGAAGACTGGATGGATAAGTGGAAGACTGGATGGATAAGTGGAAGTTTGGATGGATAAGTGGAAGGTTGGATGGATAAGTGGAAGGATGGGTGGATAAATGGAAGGATGGATGGATACGTGGAAAGATAGATGGATAGGTAGAAGTATGGATGATGGAATAACTCTTTTTGTTTTTGTTTAAATATTTGCAAATCATTTATCTGACAAGGGATTTATATCCAGAATATATAAAGAACTCTTAAAAGTCAACAAATAACTCAACTGAAAATGGGCAAAGGATTTGAATAGACACTTCTCCAAAGAAAACCCATTAACTTGCCAATGAGCACAAGAAAACATGTTCAGCCGCATTAGCTATCAGGAAATAACAAATGAAACCACAATGAGAGACCACTTCACACTCAATAGAATAGCTAAAATTTTAAAAATAGATAGTAAGTGTTGGTAAGGATGTGGGAATATTGGAACACTGTACACTGCTGGTAGGATTGTAAAAATGGTGCAGCTACTTTAGAAAGCAGTTTGGCAGTAGTTCTCTTAAAAACAGGGTAATCATATGACCCAGCAATTCTGCTCCTAGGTATAGATGAAACACTGTTTCTTCGGGTTCTATGACGACTTGGCTGGCAGGACAGAGGCCGTCACGCAAGGCCTTTGTGTCTTTCCCACCAGAAAAAGGTGGAGGATTTCGCCCATCCCTGCCCTCCTGGCCTCAGTTTTCCTCTCTGTGAAAGTCTGCGGGTCTCCACCTGAGAGAATGCAGATGCTCCCGCACCTGCAGTGGGCGGGCAGAAGAGCAGGCGGGGGGTGGTCCCAATGTCACGCCACGCCCCGTTCTGCCCCCTCCGGAGGAGGCGGTGGCCCGGTGGCCCTGGCGGCTAGGAGACAGGCGCAGCGCTGGGAGCACGCAGCGCCGCGGGAGCCCGGGCCAGGTGAGCGAAGCCCGGACGCGGGCCAGGGACGCAGATGCTGGCGGGACAGGTAGGGTGAGGGGGCCAAAAGGGAAGGGGACCCCCACCCTCGAGCTGCCCGTGAGTCCATCGCGCCCAGGGTCAGTCCCTGATGCTCCCTTCCCTTTTGCCAGTTCCTTTCACTAAACCCGATTTTAGGGTCCCCATCCACGTGGATTTCGGCAGACACATTGTCTGTGAGTCCATCAAAGTTTACTTATGTTCTCTGGGCCTCAGTTTCCACCTCTGGGTAATGGAAACCATAGCCTGTGCTTTACTGAACTTCCAAGAGAATGAGTGCAGCCATGTGTGGGTTGGTCTGGCGCGCCACCATAGCACCGTCAGATCCCGAATGTGCCCCAGAGGTTTTGTCCACCCAGCAGCATTTGCTGACTGCCTGCTTTGTGCCAGGCACTGTCCTAGGTGCTGGAACACTCCAGGGAATGAAATCTTCCTGGAGCTTTGCAATCTAGGCTTGCAAGGCATTCTGGCGTCCGTTTTCTCATGACCACCCTGTGAAGAGCTGGAGCAGCCAGAAATATTTGTGTCCATTCGCAGCTGTGGGTACTGAGGTACAGTGAGGTTTTAAGGCCTGTACCCAAGGGCACACCCCAACAAGTGAGTACCCAGGGCTGAGTCCAACCTTTGCCACAAAAGGCATCCCCTTAGGGTAGAAAGTCGGCTGTGGTCCCATAGACCCTTCTGCAGAACAGAGTCCTCTGGGCCTAAGAATAGGAGAAGGACTCCACTGTGGGGCTGCATCCTCTCGCCTCCCTCTGGGGAATTTAGGCGCCTCCTCCGTGAGGAGGGTCTCTCTCATTAAACCCATGAGTGCACTGGGCACATGGCTCATGCCTGTAATCCCAGCACTTTGGGAGGCTGAGGCAGGCATATCACTTGAGACCAGGAGTTCGAGACCAGTCTGGCTGACATAGCAAAGCCCATCTCTACTAAAAATACAAAAATTTGCCAGGGGTGGTGGTGCGTGCCTGTAGTCCCAGCTACTCTGAATGCTGGGGCAGAAGAATTGCTTGAACCAGGGAGGTGGAAGTTGCAGTGAGCCAAGATCACACCACTGCACTCCAGCCTGGGCAACAGAGTGAGACTTTCTCAAAATAAATAAATAAAGCCATGAGCATTCATGCTCCTATGGAGCAGGACTGTATTCCTCACCTAGACACTTGGTGAGCAGGACAGTAACAGAGGAAATTAAAAATATAGCCCCTCTACTTGCCAGAGTCCCTGCCCTGTGCAACTAGCAACAACCATGGGGCTCATCAGCCCCATCACTCACCAAATCTCCATTCTTTCATGCAGCCAGTATATGCCATGCAGAGCAGAGACTCACCCATCTGTGTATGTAGAGCCTGGTGCACAGAGGCCCCTAGCACATGGTTGCTGTTATGGCTGTGATCGCTTGGCCCTGGTCATCCAGCCTCACCCTCAGGTGGATCAGGAGGTTGGGGGAGTGGGGGGAGGGTGGATGATGGTGACAGTGACTGACACCCTGGCTTGCCTTGAGTTTAGACTGAGGGCTGGGCACAGTGGCTCACCCCTGTAATCTCAACACTTTGGGAGGCCAAGGCAGGAGAATGGCTTGAGCTCAGGAGTTCAAGACCAGCCCGGTCAACAGAGTGAGACTCTGTCTCAAAAATAAAAAAAAATATCTAAGGAGCTGGAGCTGGGTGCAGTGGCTCACACCTGTAATGCCAGCACTTTGGGAGGCCAAAGTGGGAAGATCACTTGAGGTCAGGAGTTTAAGACCAGCCTGGCCAACATGCAACAACCCCATCTCTACTAAAAATACAAAAATTAGCCAGGCATGGTAGCATGCACCTGTAGTCCCAGCTACTTGGGGGGCTAAGATAGGAGGATCACTTGAGTAGGGAAGGTTGAGGCTGCAGTGAACTATGATTGTGGCACTGCACTCCATCCTGGGTGACAGAGAAAAAAAAATAGTCTGAGGTAGCAAAGAACAAGATCCTCAGTGCTGTCCCCCTAGACCCATAGACCAGACCCTAAAGCCTGCAGAGGGATTGGGCAGACCCTGTGGTACCAGCCACCTGCACTACCATAGGACCTGGGAGGACCAGAGGTGGCAGGTGGTAGGGTGGGGACAGGCACAGCCCTTGGAGTCATGTACAAGTTACCAGGATGCAGAGTCCTTTTGGATCCCGTGTGGACCCTCCCCCTCCTCCCCCTCCCCCTCCCCCTCCTCCCCCCTTTTCCTCCTCCTCTTCCAGAAAGCCCTCCCCATTTCCCAAGTCAGAAAGCAGCCACCTCCCAATCTGGTGAGGTTCCTGCTCGATGATTTGCCCTGTCTTCCTTTGGAACTCCATGGAGGCTAGAATATTAAGGACCTGGTAGAGAAGTCAGAAATGCTTGACATCAACCTCCATCACACAGTGTGACTTTAGACTTCAATTTCCCTAGCTCTAAAATCTAAGTCTTGGCTGCCTTGTCTCTGACTGTCTGTGCAGAGGAAAGCAGCCACACTGGAGATTTGTATTTATTTATTTATTGAGACTGAGTCTCACTCTGTCACCCAGGCTGGAGTGTAGTGGCACCATCTCAGCTCACTGCAACCTCCGCCTTCCATGTTCAAGCGATTCTTGTGCCTCAGTCTCCTGAGTAGCGGGGATTACAGTTGTGCCCTACCATGCTCTGCTGATTTTTGCATTTTTAGTAGAGATGGGGTTTCACCATGTTGGCCAGCCTGGTTTCAAACTCCTGGCCTCCAGTGATCTGCCCGCCTTGGCCTCCTAAAGTGCTGGGATTACAAACATGAGCCACCTCGCCCAGCCCATACTGGAGATTCTTGAGATTCTGAAAGGGACAGGTTCTCTGGGAACTCACAGAGTCTCTAGTTTCCACCTGGAGTTCTCCTCCTCCTAGAGGTCTAATAACCTTTGTGACTTGAAACAACTCTAGAGCATTCTTTCTTCTATTTTCTTTCCCACAGGTGGTCGGTTTCTGGGTCTGCATGGCTCAGTAGAGGATGAAGCCCAACCCTCCAGGCTCCTCCCCAGAGGCCTGCAAAGCTGCAGGCCAGGGTGAGAAGAGCTGCCCTGTCTGCCAGGCCTGTGGAGAGGTCTCAGGTCCAAGGTCTGGTTTAGGGTCAGAGTCAGGGCCTGCACCAAAGCCTGGTGCCATTTCAGGGCCTGGACTGGGGCCCAAAGCTATTCCAGAACCTCAGGCGGGTTCTGGTGCTGTTCTGAGGCCTGATACTGTTTCAGGAACCGCACCAGGTCTAGGGCCTGGGCCAGGCTCTGGGTCAGTATCTGGGCCAGGAGCTAGGTCAGTACCTGCACCAGGAGCTAGGTCAGCACCTGGTCTAGGAGCTGGGTCAGTACCTGGGCCAGGAGCTGGGTCAGTACCTGGGCCAGGAGCTGGATTGGTACCTGGGCCAGGATCTGGGTCTGCACCTGGTCTAGGAGCTGGGTCAGTACCTGGTGTAGGAGTTGGGTCTGTACCTGGGCCAGGATCTGGGTCTGTACCTGGTCTAGGAGCTGTGTCAGCACCTGATCTAGAACCTGGGTCTGTACCTGGGCCAGGAGCTGGGTCAGTACCTGGTCTAGTTCTTGGGTCTGTACTTGGGCCAGGAACTGGGTCAGCACCTGGTCTAGGAGCTGGGTTGGCACCTGGGCCAGGATCTGGGTCTGTACCTGGTCTACGATCTGGATCGGCACCTGGGCCAGGAGCTGGGTCTACACCTGAGCCAGAGCTAGGGCCTGGGCTCAGACAGGGGTCTGGGACTGGGCCCAAACCCAGGGAGTCAACAGCAACCCCAACACCAGCACCACAGCAGAAGACTCAAGCCAAACCCACAAAGGCTGCCAGGCAGAAGGTTCTGGTGACTGGAGGAGGAGGCTACCTGGGCTTCAGCCTGGGATCCCACCTGGCCAAGAGCGGCACTTGCGTCATTCTGCTTGACCGCCGCAGACCCCAGTGGGAACTGTCCCCGGAAACCGAGTTCATCCAGGTTTGGGGACAAGGGTCTTAGTAGACTGGGGTGGTGGTGATGGTCAGGGGAGAGTGTTTGATATGAAACCTGTGGTGTGGAGTTTAGGGGCAGAGACTCTGAAGCCAGACTGTTTGAGCTCCAGCTCTGGCGCTACCAGCTGGGCAGCTGTGGTCACAGAAAGGGGACAATAGTAACACTGACTTCACAGGGTCTCATTGAGAGTTGATGAAACAGTGCACATAAACGTAGCCCAGCCTCTGTGACCTAGAGAGTGTGATGAATGAGCACAGGATGATGCCCACGGTGTCCTGGAGAATCCTTTAGTGAATCCTGCCCCACCAGCCTTTCCTGACGCTACAGAGGCTTGGCCTGGGCTGGGTCGGGGGCCAGCTCTGAGACCAGGCAAGGTGCAGAGGTGTTATCTCTTGCCTTGGACTTGAACCCCCTGCCCTCATCTCTTTTTTCTCTGGTTCAGGCTGATGTCCGAGATGAAGAAGCCCTGTACCGTGCCTTCGAAGGAGTGGACTGTGTCTTCCACGTGGCTTCCTATGGAATGTCCGGGGCTGAGAAGGTAGGCTCCTCACACACAACACCTGCAGTTAGACAGATTGGGGTTCCAGTCCTGGCTCTGCCCTCACGCCCATCCATTCCCTCATGCTTCACCTACTGTAGGAAGGACTTCGGCTATTCCCAGCCTGCATCTTGCATCCATGAGACCAGATACCAGTTTTGCCATTTTGGTTTGTTTGTTTTGGGTTTGTTTTGTTTTGTTTTGTTTTTGAGACAGAGTCTTGCTTCTTCACCAGGCTAAAGTGCAGTGTCGGGATCTCGGCTCACTGCAACTCCACCTCCCAGGTTAAAACGATTCTCCTGCCACACCCCCCCAGTAGCTGGGATTACAGGCATGTGCCACCAGGCCCGGCTAATTTTTGTATTTTTAGTGGAGACAGGGTTTCACCACATTGGCCAGGCTGGTCTCAAACTCCTGACATCAAGCAGTCCACCTGCCTCGGCCTCCCAAAGTGCTAGGATTACAGGCATGAGCCACCGTGCCCAGACTGTTTTTGTTTTTTTGAGACAGAGTCTCACTGTCACCCAGGCTGGAGTGCAGTGGCACAATCTCAGCTCACTGCAACTTCTACCTCCCAGCTTTAAGTGATTCTCCTGCCTCAACCTCCTGAGTACCTGAGATTACAGGTACTACAAACACGCCTGGCTAATTTTTGTATTTTTAGTAGAGATGGGGTCTCACCATGTTGGCCAGGCTGGTCTCAAACTCCTGACCTCAGGTGATCCACCTGCCTTGGCTTCCCAGAGTGCTGGGATTGTAGGCATGAGCCACCGAACCTGGCCCTAGTTCTGCCATTTTATAACTGTGTTACCTAGGGCAAGTTTACTTAACCTCGCTGATCCTCTTTCATCATCTGGAAAGTGAGGACATTACTATTAGTAATATCACAACCTCTTCAGAGAGCAATGTGGTAGTATCCACCAAAACATACAGATACCCCTTGACTCAGAAATTACACTCACTTGTGCATTTGCAGCATTGTTTTTAATAACAAAACCCTAGAAATAACCCATCAGTTGAGGACTATTTAAATAAATTGTGTGTGTTTTGGTTTTGGTTTTGTTTTTTTGAGGCGGAGTTTTGCTCTTGTTGCCCAGGCTGGAGTGCAGTGGTGCGATCTCGGCTCACCGCAACCTCCACCTCCCGGGTTCAAGCGATTATCCTGCCTCAACCTCCCGAGTAGCTGGGATTACAGTCACCTGCCACCAAGCCCAGCTAATTTTGTATTTTTAGTAGAGATGTGGTCTCTCCATGTTGGTCAGGCTGGTCTAGATCTCCTGACGTCAGGTGATCCCCCTGCCTTGGCCTCCCAAAGTTCTGGGATTACAGATATGAGCCACCACGACCAGCCTAATAAATTGTGTTTTACAATGAAATTATCTGCAGCCATTCAAAAGAAAGGGCTGACTCAATGTGTACAGATAAAAAAACAGTTTCCAAGGTGCAAAGCAGTGTTTGGCATTCTCCTGTTTACAAAAAAAGCAAAAGAAACTGTTTATTTCTATACTCACACATGCTTACATGCTCATATTAACAAGCATAGATTATCTCTAGAAACACAGAAAATTTAACGGTGGCTGCTTTTAGGGAGGGAAAAGGAAGATTTGGAATCAGGAGTGGGAGGGAAACTTTTCACCATACACTATTCTTACTGTTTGAATTCTTTTTCACCTTGATTGTGTTGCTTATGAAACAAAAACAGCCACAACAAGAATAAATATAGAGCCGGGCATGGTGGCTCACACCGTAATCCCAACACTTTGGGAGGCCAAGGTGGGAGGACTGCTTGAGCACAGGAGTTTGAGACCAGTCTGGGCAACATAATGAGAACCCTGTCTCTATCTTTATTTATTTGAGACAGAATTTTGCTCTGTCACCTAGGCTGGAGTACAGTGGTGCAATCTCGGCTCACTGCAACCTCCGCCTCCCAGGTTCAAGCAATTCTCCTGCCTCAGCCTCCCAAGTAGCTGAGATTACAGGCGCACACCACCACACCTGGCTAATTTTTGTATTTTCAGTAGAGACAGGGTTTTGCCATATTGCTCAGCCTGGTCTCAAACTCCTGACCTCAGGTGATCCACCCGCCTCGGCCTCCCAAAGTGCTGGGATTACAGGTGTGAGCTACCATGCCTGGCCAAAAGTTCTTAAAAGAATAAATATAGGCTGGGTGTGGTGGCTCATGCCTGTAATCCCAGCACTTTGAGAGGCGAGGCAGGTGGATCATCTGAGATCAGGAGTTCGAGACCAGTCTGACCAACACGGTGAAACCCTGTCTCTACTAAATACAAAAAAAGTTAGCTGGGCCTGGTGGCACATGCCTGTAATCCCAGCTACTTGGGAGGCTGAGGCAGAAGAATCACTTGAACCTGGGAGGCAGCAATTGCAGTGAGCTGAGGTTGCACCACTGCTCTCCAGCCTGGGCAACAAGAGCGAAACTCCATCTCAAACATAAAGAATAAATACAGCTGAAATATAGGCATGGAGCTCACCTCCTGGTGTTAAGAGAATTAAGTGAGAATGTGGATCAGGAAGCTCTTACCCTGTCCCTGGCTCACAGGAGCCCTCAGAGTGGCCTAGTTTTTGTTTTTCACACCCCAGCTCCCTCATGAAGGCCCAGCCCGTATTACCATGTCCACCTTACAGATAGGGAAACTGAGGCTTTGAGAGCAGGAAAATGACCCAACAGGTTCTGAGCCCCTCTTTTGTACCAGGCACTCTACCAGGTCCTCTCAAGTGTCTTATTAGGTCCTACCTGCCACCCAGGGGAGGAGGTCGGCCCTCATTTCACAGATGAGGTTACTGAGGGCCAGATGCTGGGGCAGAACCTTCCCTAGCAACCCAGGAAGATGGTGGCAAAGCCAGGCACCCACAATCCTGGTGGGCCTTCGGGATCCCTGCTTCTGAGCTGAACATCCTGCTGCCCTGCCCAGTCCCACCTGACGCCAAGCTCAGCCCTCCAGCCTCAGCAAGAAGGCATGGGTAGCACCATTACTTTCTCACTGTCTTGTCTTTTAGCTGCAGAAAGAGCAGATTGAGTCTATAAATGTCGGAGGCACCAAACTAGTGATTGATGGTAGGTGCTCAGAGCCGGGTGTGAGCTGCTGTACTATCGCCCCTCCCCTTCTCCTGCAGACAGTGGGACCCTCCAGGCCATCCAAGGGAGGGCCTGTGGGCAGCACATCCTTCGTGCACTGCAGACCTGCCCAGGGCCCTGGATGGGTGTGTCAGTGCAGCCTTAGTATGTGTGGGAACATGGGGAACAGAGTTACCTCTCAGGGCTTAGGGGCTGGAGGAAGAAAAGTTGCCGAAGCTGGTCTCGTGCGGTGGCTCATGCCTGTAATCCCAGCACTTTGGGAGGCTGACTGAAGTAGATCACCTGGGGTCAGGAGTTGGAGACCAGCCTGGCCAACATGGTGAAACTCCCACCTCTACTAAATATACAAAAAAAATTAGACAGGTGTGGTGGTAGACACCTGTAGTCCCAACTACTTGGGAGGCTGAAGCAGGAGAATTGCTTGAATCTGAGAGGCAGAGGTTGCACTGAGCCGAGATCACGCCACTGCTCTCCAGCCTGAGCAACAAGAGCGAAACTCTGTCTCTAAATAAATAAATAAATAAGATTTAAAAATAAATAAACAAGGCTGGCCATGGTGGCTGATGCCTGTAACCCCAGCACTTTGGGAGGCTGAGGTAGGCAGATCGCCTGTGGTCAGGAGTTTGAGACCAGCCTGACTAACATGGGGAAACCCTGTCTCTACTAAAAATACAAAAATTAGCTGGGTGTAGTGGCACATGCCTGTAATCCTGGCTATTCAGGAGGCTGAGGCAGGAGAATCACTTGAACACGGGAGGCAGAGCTTGCGGTGAGCTGAGATCACTGCCATTGCACTCCAGCCTGGGCAACAAGAGCAAAACTCCATCTCAATCAGTCAATCAATGAAAAGTTGCCGAAGCACCAAAATCGAAGACCCATGTGTAGGCTGCCTGGGCACGTCCTGCCTGATCCCGTGTGTCTCTGATTCTAGAGATCTTTTTCTATGTCTGCATCCAGTGAGACCTTCTTCTGACCTGTCTCTGGCAAGGTAGCTCAGGGTCCAAGCCACGCTGAGAAGGAATAAGGAGCAGGCCTGGTTCCCAGGGGCCCATGAAGCAGGAACTTGACCTGCACCCTCAGTTAAGGGCAGGAGACCCTTCCCTCCTGAACAACTCTAGATTCTGGGAGGGTCCTAGGGGGCCAAGTTGTGTGTTGAAAACTCAGTGGAAATCTGCATGGCACCTCCTCAGCTGACTCCCTGCTCACATGTGTCCCGTGTGTGTGTCTGTGTCTGTGCACGTGTGTGTGTGTGTGTTTGATGCTCTGCGCACCTGTCGCTGCAGTCTGTGTTCGCCGGCGGGTTCCAAGGCTCGTCTATACCAGCACTGTCAACGTTGCATTTGGCGGGAAGCCCATAGAGCAGGGCGATGAGGACTCCGTGCCGTATTTCCCATTGGACGAGGTACCTGTCTTCCAGGAGAGGTGGGTGGGGCCCACGGTCCTGGGACCCACAGCTCAGAGGGTAGGGATGGGTGGAAGCAGGGTGGGTTTCACAACTCAGGATGTGTCCTAGCAGGAAAAGGCCCTCAAAATTGGGTGGCATCATTACTCTCTTTTTGCAACTGGTCACACCTGCAGGGGCATTGAAATCAGACAGGCCTGGCCTTAGCCTCAACCTGGCCACATTCTACCCATGTGACCCTGTCCCTGAACAAATCACTTAAGCCCTTTGAGCCTCTGTTTCTTTTTTTTCTTTTCTTTTGTTTTCGAGACAGAGTCTTGCTCTGTCGCCAGGCTGAAGTGCAGTAGCACAATCTTGACTCACTGCAACCTCCACCTCCCGGGTTCAAGCAATTCTCCTGCCTCAATCTCCCAAGTAGCTGGGACTACAGGTGCATGCCACCACGCCCAGCTAAGTTTTGCATTTTTAGTAGAGACGGAGTTTCACCATGTTGGCCAGGCTGGCCTTGAACTCCTGGCCTCAAGCCATCTGCCCGCCTCGATCTCTCAAAGTGCTGGGGTTACAGGCCTTGTTTTTATCTGTTTGTTTGTTTTGAGACAAGGTCTTGCTTTGCTCTGTTACTCAGACTGGCATGCAGTAGCATGATTTCGACTCACTGCAGCCTCAACCTCCCGGGCAGGTGATCCTCCCACCTCAGCCTCTCGAGTAGCTGGGACTACAGGTGCCCGCCACCACGCCCAGCTAATTTTTGTATTTTTAGTGGAGACAGGGTTTCATTGTGTTGCCCAGGCTGTCTCAAACTCCTGGGCTCAAGCGATCCTCCCTCCTGGGTCTCCCAAAGTGCTGGGATTATAGGCATGAGCCACCGCACCCGGAGAAGCCTCTGTTTCTTCATCCCAACATGATAACAGTATCACCATGGGGCTGTGCAGAGCAGGAAATGAGATAAGCAATGTGAAAATGTCATGTGAACACAAAACAGCCACGTATAGGTAATTTACCCAGCAGGTGTCCAGCATCAGCTTTGCAGGGCAGGCATCTGGGGCTGGCAGCAGCCTCCCTGAGTCCGCCTGCCCCGGTCATTGTTGCTGCTCTGGACCCAGTGCTCCTCTGCTCCTGTGGCTCTGGAAGGAGATGCACTGTTCTTCCACCCAGGGGTAGAGAAGGGGCCATGGGGCTCAGGGCTTGGCCATATCCCAGTGGGATTCCCCAGGGAAGGCGCAGCCCTGGGGCTGGCCAGGCTGGGCAGGCATTGCCAGCAGCATTGCTGACCCTCTCTGGTGGTTCTGTTTTCCCTGGTATCTGGCAGCACATAGACCACTATTCCCGAACCAAAGCCATTGCCGACCAACTGACCCTCATGGCCAATGGGACGCCACTCCCAGGTGAGTATCGTGGGGCTCTGCTTATACCAAACACACCTGCCCACTGCTGCCTCCGCCAACATACACGTGTGATTCCTGCTAATATGTATCTGAGGCCTAATATGTATCTGTGTCCTTCCTTTCAAAGGACAGTTTCCCAGGGCCTTGGCCTTTCATCGTTTGGCACATTCTGAGCGCCTGCTGTGTGCCTGCTGCCCCGCCAGGGATACAGCCCAGAAGAAGTCAGGCCCAGTGTCTGTCCTTACGTAGTTAGGTAGGGAAGAGACTTGAGCAAACCCAAGTCTAGCTATCTTTTCTACTGCACAGGAGTGAATCCAGCTTTAGGGGCCCTCTTTACACAAAAGAGTACCAAATGATGAGTGTGGTTTCCCTTCACTATCAAAACCATCTAAACTTGAGAGGCAAGTGGATTTGGAGAGTCGGAGGGCTTAAAAATTATAATCCTCCCCCGGGCACAGTGGCTCACCCCTGTAATCCCTGCACTTTGGAAAGCTGAGGTGGGTGGATCACAAGGTCAGGAGTTCAAGACCAGCCTGGCCAATATGGTGAAACCCCATTTCTACTAAAAATACAAAAAAACATTAGCCGGTTTGGTGGCGCATGCCTGTAATCCCAGCTACTCTAGAGGCTGAGGCAGGAGAATTACTTGAACCCGGGAGGCAGAGGTTGCAGTGAGCCGAGATCGTGCCACTGTACTCCAGCCTGGGTGACAGAGTGAGACTCCATCTCAAAAAAATATATTAATAATTCTCAATATACAGGTGAGAAAACTGAGACAGATGAACTGACTTCACTGAAGGTCATACTGCTATTAGGTGGTAGAGATGAGATTTGAACCCCAAGAGAGTTTAACACCAGAGCCTGGGGCCTAATCACTGTGCAGCGCTGTAGCCCCAGCTAAGCAGGTCCCTGAGCATCGGCTCTTTTCCCTAAAATCTTTCCCACCCCACTCCCCATCACCCTGGGCCAGTCAGGCCTGGACCCCTGATCCCAGTGGAACTATCCTGCTCTTTACTCAGGGGTTCAATCTTGTGCAGTTGAATTCTTTCCTCTACACGGGGCCTCTGCTAGCCAGCTCAGCAGCCTGTACTCTAGACACCTAATCCTCCAGCCAAGAATTATTTATATGAGCATCTGCAGCTTTCCATGGTCAGGAGAGTCATGGATACCCTGGCCCTCTGTGAAGTAGCTGTCTGATGCCCCGCCTGCCAACATAAGCTGCAACCCAACCTCCCCCCACTATGCCCAGGTGACCACAAGTTTAAAATTAGCTGCAGGCTGTTTACAGGAAAGCTCACCCGATACCTGCCTTCCAGGAGTCCAGCTGCAGTCACCTGAGGTCATTTCCACTCCCTCCTATCCAAGCGGGTTCCTGAAACTGTTCTGACTTGGCGCAGGGGTCCCTAGTCCTGAGAGCAGAATCCTGAGGCATGCAGATCCCAGCTCAGTGTTAATGCAGTTATGTCCTCCCGTCTTCTGTCTCTAGGTGTGTTAGTATCCTGTGGCTCCCTTGACAAATGATACCACCCAAACTTGATGGCTTAAAATAATAGAAATGGGCTGGATGTGGTGACTGACACCTGTAATATCAGCCATTTGGGAGGCCAAGATGGGAGGATTGCTTAAGCCCAGGAGTTCAAGACCAGCCCGGGCAACATGGCAAGACTCCGTCTCTACAAAAAATACAAAAATGACCTGGGTGTGGTGGTGCATGCCTGTACTCCCAGATACTCAGGAGGCTGAGGTGAGAGGATCACCTGAGCCCAGGGAGGTCAGGATGGCACAGAGAAAGAAAAGACAATCATTTCTTCTCTCACCATCCTGGAGGCTGGAAGTCTGAAATCAAGGTGTCAGCTGGGCTGCACTCCCAGAGGCTTGGGTAGGCTGCACTCCTTCCTTTTTTTGTTTTCTTTCTTTCTTTGAGATGAAGTCACTCTGTCACCCAGGCTGGAGTGCAGTGGAGTGATCTGGGCTCACTGCAACCTCTGCCTGGGTTCAAGCAATTCTCTTGCCTCAGCTTCCTGAGTAGCTGGGATTACACGCATGCGCCACCATTCCCAGCAAACTTTTGTATTTTTAGTAGAGACGGGGTTTCACCAGTTGGCCAGGCGGGTCTTGAACTCCTGACCCCAGATGATTCACCCACCTTGGCCTCCCAAAATGCTGGGATTATAGGTGTCAGCCACTGTGCCTGGCCTGCGCTCCTTCCTCATCTCGTCTAGTTTCTGATGGCCCCAGGCATTCCTTCGTTTGGCTGCATTGCTCCAGCCCCTGCCTCTGCCTTCACATGGCCTCTCCTCTTTTCCATCTGTCTCTTCTCTGTGAGTCTCTTAAGGACACTTGTCATTGGATAGAGGCCCCCCCGCACCCCACCGATAACCCAGGATGATCCATCTTGAGATCCTTAAGGACATCTGCAATGGCCCTTTTTCCAAATAAGGTGACATCAGTAGGTTCTGGGACATGGACATATCTTTAGGGGCCACTATTTAACCCACTGCACTTGCCCTCAAGGTAAAGTGAGAGGCTTAGAGGATGTAGCAGTTAGGGCATTTGGTTATGACCCAGAGACACTGGCCAAAGCTCATTTATCGGGGGAAAGGGAACTTATCTAGGAAGGATGTAGGCTAGCTTCTGGAAAATAGATTTCTAGAAACGCAACCACCAGGGCTTGGAAAGGACAGTGTTAAGGCAGCTTCAGGGACCTGGGTGGCAGGAACTGATGACCAGTCTCCTCTGGGTGACTCTATTCCTAGGATTTTAGTTCCCAGTGTCAATGATATCAAGAGTCCCCCTCCTGGGTGAGAAAATCCCATGGCCACCTTCTAAACTGATGGTCCCCCTAAGACCTCATGCAGAAGGGGAGGGTTCCCCAAAGGAAAGCAGTCATGGAAGGTGACCCACCCGGGGATTCCATACCAAGGTTCAGCCCCTTCGGGAACCCAAGCCTTGGGAGGGAGAGAGAGTGGAACCTCTTCCCAGAGGCTCCATTTTAGTTGAGAAGCTGGGGCTGGGAGTTAATTAATTTATAAAATTAAGGTGGGGCACAGTGGCTCACCTGCAATCCCAGCACTTTGGGAGGCTGAGGTGGGTGGATCACAAGGTCAGGAGACCAACCTGGCCAATATGGGGAAACCTCATCTCTACTAAAAATACAAAAGTTAGCTGGGCATGGTGGTGGGTGCCTGTAGTTCCAGATGCTCGGGAGGCTGAGGCAGGAGAATTACTTGAACCTGGGAGGTGGAGGTTGCAGTGAGCTCAGATGGCGCCACTGCACTCCAGCCTGGGCAACAGAGCAAGCTTGTCTCAAAAACAATAAAATAAATAAATAAAAATAAAAATTAGCTGGATGTGGTGGCATGAGCCTATAGTCCCAACCACTTGAGAAACTAAGGTAGAACGATTGCTTGAGCCTGAGAGGTTGCAGTGAGCCGTGATGACACCACTGCATTTCAGCCTGGGCAACAGAGTGAGATCCTGTCTCTAAAAAAGTTAATTAATTAAGTCATTAAGCTGGGTGCAGTGGCTCACATCTGTAATCCCAGCACTGTGGGAGGCTGAGGCAGGTGGATCACCTGAGGTCAGGCATTTGAGACCAGCCTGGACAACATGCGAAACACTTCATCTACTGAAACTACAAAAATTAGCGGGACACAATGGCATATGCCTGTAATCCCAGCTACTCGGGCAGCTAAGGCAAGAGAATCTCTTTAATCTGAGAGGCGGAGGTTGCAGTGAGCTGAGATTGTGCCATTGCACTCTAGTTTGGGCAAGAGAGCAAGACTCCATTTCAAAAACAAAAAGTCATTTTAAATTTTTTAAATATATATTTTAAAGTTCTAGCATTCTATAGCACTATATAGTGACTATTACAACGATTGTGCATTTTCAAATAGCTAGAAGAATGGATTTTTTTTTTCTTTGAGACAGGGTCTTGCTCTGTCACCCAGGCTGAAGTGCAGTGGTGCTATCATGGCTCACTGCAGCCTCAAACTCTTAGGTTCAAGCGATTTCCCTACCCCAGCCTCCCAGAACACTGGGACTATAGGCGCACATCATGGTGCCTGGCTGCTTTTTTGGTCAGAGATGGGGTCTCACTTTGTTACCCAGGCAGTAGATATGAATGTTCCCAAGACAAAGAAATGATAAATGTTCCAGATGATATTAATAGATATGCTCATTACCCTGATTTGATCATTAAACATTGTATTCATGCATGGAAAAACATCAGGTATCCCTTGCTTTCTAAACTTCACAGCCAAAACATCACACCTTACCCCACAAATATCTACAATTATTATATGGCAAGAAAAATAAAAGAAAATTGGCCGGGCGCGGTGGCTCAAGCTTGTAATCCCAGCACTTTGGGAGGCCGAGGCGGGTGGATCACAAGGTCAAGAGATCGAGACCATCCTGGTCAACATGGTGAAACCCCGTCTCTACTAAAAATACAAAAAATTAGCTGGGCATGGTGGTGCGTGCCTGTAATCCCAGCTACTCAGGAGGCTGAGGCAGGAGAATTGCCTGAACCCAGGAGGCGGAGGTTGCAGTGAGCCGAGATCGTGCCATTGCACTCCAGCCTGGGTAACAAGAGCGAAACTCCGTCTCAAAAAATAAATAAATAAATAAATAAATAAATAAATAAAAGAAAATTTTTTAAATCTTAAACATGAATTATGGCCGGGAGCAGTGGCTCACACCTGTAATCCCAACACTTTGGGAGGCCAAGGCAGGTGGATCACCTGAAGTCAGGAGTTCGAGACCAGCCTCGCCAACATGGTGAAACCTCATCTCTACTAAAAATAATTAGCCAGGTGTGGTGGTGGGCGCCTGTAATTCCAGCTACTCAGGAGGCTAAGGCAGGAGAATTACTTGAACCTGGGAGGCAGAGGTTGCAATGAGCCAAGAGATTGCACCATTGTACTCCAGCCTGGGCAACAGAGTGAGACTCTGTCTCAAAAAAAAAAGCATAAATTATTATAAACCGAAAATTTTGTAGGTGTTCTTTTATATATATATAAATAGTAGAAACGGTCTCACTATGTTGCCCAGGCTGGTCTCAAACTCCTGGGCTCAAGCAATCCTCCTGCCTTAGCCTCCCAAATGCTGAGATTACAGGCATGAGCCACTGCTACCAGCTAGTAGGTGTTCTTAAGACAAGATTGACATATGTCTGTGGCAACCGTTCAGACTGTACCCCTAGATTGCCCCAGGAGAGACATGTTCACCCACTTCTGCCATTTGGGTCCCTCCAGTGGAGAATTTGGGAGGCCCCGGATGCAGCTCTGTCCAGGTCTAGGGAGCTCCGCTGGGCTAGAACAGTGAAGGGACAGAGCCTGGCTCTTTTGTGCGGCTCTAGTCTTTCCTTTCTCCATTGATTGGAAAGTGTAGCAGCCACTCCCACTTCCAAAGCACCCATTTTCCAGGTGAGGAAACCAAGGCTCAGTGAGCTGAAAGGCAGTATTTACTGTTTGCCTTACTGCTGAGAAGCAGGGGCATTAGGGAAAACGGTGTGGACTTCGGGTCCCCATCTCAGTTCCACCGCGCTGAATTGTGTAACTGGAAGCAAATCACAGCCCTTCTCTGAGCTATGGTTCTTTTATCCATAGGCAGGGATTATAACAGCTCCGACCTTGGCGTGCCAGAACACCAGGAACATGGAAGGACCTCTCTGAGAGTCCTTCTCTCTTAGATATCTATTATATAGTCCTTACCTATACATAAAGACCTCTCCTGGTCCTTATCCAACTGATGATTAGAAAAAGAAGAGAACAAAGCTGGGCACAGTGGCTCACGCATGTAATCCCAGCACTTCGGGAGGCTGAGGCAAGCGGCTCATTTGAGGTCAGGAGTTCAATACCAGCCTGGCCAACATGGTGAAACCCCGTCTCTACTAAAAATACAAAAATTAGTCGGGCGTGGTGGTGGGTGCCTATAATCCCAGCTACTTGGGAGGCTGAAGCAGGAGAATTGCTTGAACCCAGGAGGCAGAGGTTGTAGTGAGCCAAGATTGCACCACTGCACTGCAGCCTGGGCTGCAGCATAAGACTCCGTATTTTAAAAAAATAAAAAAGAGGGAACAAGAGCTATGGGCATGAGGGCATGTGCATCTATGTGCATCTGTAAAATGGGCACAATGGTACTCTCAAGGAGTGTCCAAGGAAATCACTCTGCCAAATTCTTGATAAACAGACTGCCTGTGCAGATGTTTGCATCTGGCTCTTAACTCTGTGACTACACTGTGAGGGCTGGGAGGGCAGGGACCATTTACATTCTTCACAGGATCCAACCAGGGTTGGGGGCAGGGAGGTTGGAGGTGGGAATCAGACTCTTTATAGTGTCTGCTGAATGACTAACTAATTGACTAAAAGAACAACAAATTGAACGAGGAAGCCCCTGGGCCAATCTTCTTCTCTAAGCTGTCCAGGTAAGGACCAGGAGATAGAGGTGGCCTCTCTCTCCCTCTCCCTGTGGGCTGCTCCTTCCCTGACCCCGACCACACTTCCCTGTGTGCTAGGAGGAGGCATTCTTCGGACGTGTGTGCTCCGGCCCCCAGGGATCTACGGTCCTGAAGAGCAGAGGCACCTGCCCCGTGTGGCGGTATGTCATCCCCACCTTCAGCACCCGAGTCAGAGAAGGATCCTGGCTGAGGTGCACACTGGTCAGGCCCTCCCAGCCCATGGTCCCTGCACCAGACTTGAGTCTAAGTGTCCCGAGCCTGGGACCTTTGGTTCTACAGGATGTCCCCACTGGTCCCCAGGCCCCTCAGAGCTCCTGGCAGGAACAGAGGTCTCAGAGTGTACCAGCCAAGCCAAGGCATGGGTAGAGGAGCCATAGAGCTGTGACCCCAAAAAGGCAGAAGGGAGCCTGTTGCCCTCACTCCCATGGGGGCTCCCTGCAGCCTGGATGGTGTCTCCCATGCCGGGAGCACAAGCTGTCTTCATACAGAAAGCCTCTCTCTAAAGGCTTGCTGGAAATATAGGTGCCAGAAATATAACTACAAGGGGCTCTGGGCCCTGTCCTCAAATTTCTCAGGGAGACAGACACTGCAGTCACAGCTTCAGTATGGGAAGGGTTATGAAGAGAGGAGCACAAGAAGATGGGCCTGGCAGGGGAAACCCAGGAGGGCTCCCTGGAGGAAGTGGTGTCTGTGTTGTTGGAAAAGAGAGAAAGGAATTAACCAAGGAAATGAGGTGGTAGAGAGAAGATAGGCCAAACAGAGAGGGACGGCTTGGGGACAAACCTGGAAGTGAGAAAGATCATGATTGTTTTAGGAGGCAGCATGAGGTCCCTGTGGCTGGATTCAATCTGGGAGCGCAGGATCATGAGGAGCCAGAGTTATTAGTGGGGAGAAGTTCCAGTCTGCAGTTTCAAAACATTCCTCTGCTTGGCTATATGTCTTTTCGTTACAGTCAGGGTCTCACTCTGTCACCCAGGCAAGAATGCAACTGGTGTGATCACAGCTCACTGCAGCCTCCATATCCTGGACTCAAGTGATCCTCCTGCCTTCCAAGTAGCTGTGACTATAAGTGTGCACAACCATGCCTGATTGACTGTTTTTATTTTTGGTAGAGATAGGGTCTCATTATGTTGCCCAAGCTGGTCTCAATCTCCTGGCCTCAACCAATCCTCCTGCCTCAGCCTCCCAAGTTGCTGAGATAACAGGCGTGAGCCACTGCACCCGGCATTTATTTATTTATTTTTTTAGTTAACTAGGTTCTTAAGGGATGTGGTCAGCCCCAGTGACTCTCTTCCCATTCATTTATTCATTCATTGAAAAAAATACGTATCAAACTATATGTGCCCCACACTGTTCTAGGTTTGAGGACAGATCAGTGAACAAAACAGATGATTCCTGTCCTTGTGGGGTTTATCTTCTCACATGAACAGATAGATGATCAACAATGAACATGTTAAATTGTCAGGTATGTTCAGGCCAGGCGTGGTGGTTCACGCCTGTAATCCCAGCACTTTGAGAGGCCGAGGCAGGTGGATCACTTGAGGTCAGGAGTTTGAGACCAGCCTGGCCAACATGGTGAAACCCTGTATCTACTAAAAATACAAAATTTAGACGAGCACGGTGGCGTGCGCCTGTAATTCCAGCTACTCAGGAGGCTGAGCCAGAAGAATTGCATGAACTCGGGGGCGGAGGTTGCAGTGACCAAGATCTCGCCATGGTACTCCAGCCTGGGAGACAGAGCAAGACTCCATCTCAAAAAAATAAAGGAAAAGAAATCAAAGAATCTTGCCTGCAGGAGGCTGGGTAAAAAAAAGAAGAAAGGGAAAAAAAAAAAAAGAATCTGCCTCGCTGGGCAGAAAACAGACTACAGGGGCTGAGGGTGGACAGAGAGGGACCAGTTAGGAAGCAACCGTGTGTCCAGGTGAGAAGAGGGTGGCTGTCGGAGTGGCGAGAAGCGGTCAGATTCTGGACAGATTCTAACAGTTGAGCCAATTGGATTTGCAGGTGGGTTGGACATGGCATATAAGACAAATGAGAGTCAAAGGTGGCTTTAGGGTTTTAGCCCAAGCAGCACAGTGAACTGACCAGTCCACTGGGAAGGGAGGGAGGCGTGGGGTGAGAGGGACAGTCAGATGCTTGCTCCAGGAGCTGGTGAGTTTGAGTTGTCTGTTCGACGACCTGGTGTTGGTATCTGGAGCTCACGGATACGTGAGCCTGGAACAGAGGGGCCTGACCTGGAGCTAGAACCTGCGGAGCCATCAGCATCTAGATGGAACGTGAAGCCACTCTGGGCACAAGCCTATGTTTACTACCCACCCCCCTCCACCAGGGCCACATCAAGAAGAGGCTGCTCGTGTTCCGATTTGGGGACCGCAAGGCACAGATGAACTGGGTCCACGTGCACAATCTGGTGCTGGCACACGTGCTGGCGGCCAAAGCCCTCACCGCGGCCAAGGGCTACGTGGCTGTGAGTCCCCTGTGATGCCCCCAACCACCTTCCCCACAGGGCTGCAGGCAGGGTGCCCCATCCCTAGGGGATTCCTGGATGACACACCAGATTTCCCCCCAACTTCAGATGGCTGGTGGGACTCTCAGCCCAGGGAAGCTTGGGGGAAGCAGGCAGGTGGGGTGCGTAATTCCTTATAGAGCATCGTTAGCTCTTCTCTATGACCATGTGAGGTTGGCATTGTTGATCCCAGAATAACAGTTGTCAAATTCTAAGCCTCCACGCATATCGTCTCCTTTAATCTTCACAACAGTCCAAGAGGGAGATCCCAATATTATCCTCCCATTACTCAGATGAAGAAACTGATGTACAGAGAGGTTGGGCAACTCCATGGAGGTCACACAGCTAGTCAGTGTGGTCATCCTGGAATTCACAGGGAATAGCTCCGGTGTGTCCTCAGGTCTTGGGGCTGCTCCAGAGAACTCAGGGTTGGAGCAGCTGCTGGGAGCCATCTGGAAGGGTGGGGCCAGGCTGCTGGAGAGAAGGCTGACTGTCCCCTCCCACGTGTCCCCTTCAGAGTGGGCAGGCATACTACATCAACGATGGGGAGAGCGTCAACGTTTTTGAGTGGATGGCCCCGCTGGTAGGTGCCCAGATGCCCCCCCACCACCCCGAATGATCATTCTGGGATCCCTGACATTCTCTTCCTATTTTAAAAAAATTTTTTTGTTTTTTTGAGATTAAGTTTTCCTATTGTCACCCAGGCTAGGGTGCAGTGGTGCAATCTCGGCTCACTGCACCTCTGCCTCCTGGGTTCAAACAATTCTCGTGCCTCAGCCTCCTGAGTAGCTGGGATTACAGGTGCATGCCAGCACATCCAACTCATTTTTGTATTTTTAGCAGAGATGGGGTTTCATTATGTTGGCCAAGCTAGTCTAGAACTCCTGACCTCAAGTGATCCACCCGCCTCGGCCTCCCAGAGTGTTGGGATTACAGGCGTGAGCCACCGCGCCCGGCCATCCTTTTCTATTTCTAAAAGGCCAGAAGATTTCACGTTAAAAACCAACCAACTCTTTGCCCCGTGAGATGGCTCACATCTGTAATCCCAGCACTTTGGGAGGCTAACCCAGGAGGATCACTTGAGGCCAGGAGTTTGAGACCAGTCTGGGCAACCAAGCGAGAACCTGTCTCTGCAAAAATAAAAATTCAATTAGGCAGATGTGATGGTGGCACACCTGTGGTTCCAGCTACTTGAGCAGCTGAGGTGGGAGGATTTCTTGAACCCAGGAGTTCAAAGCTGCAGTGAGCCAAGATTGCACCACTGCACTCCAGCCTGGGTAAACAGAATAAGACCCTGTCTCTAAAAATCAATTTTTTAAAAAAACAGCTCTGGCAATAGTATTCACTGGGCAACACTGGAACTGGCTGGAGCCCTTGAGGGGCACCATGTGCTCCTCAGTTACCTGCAATTCTCTTCCACCCTGCTTCCGGGCGTTTTTGGTTTGTTTGTTTGAGATGGAGTTTCACCCTTGTTGCCCAGGCTGGAGTGCAATGGCTCGATCATGGCTCAGCACAACCTCTGCCTCCCAGATTGAAGCCATTCTCCTGCCTCAGCCTTCTAAGTAGCTGGGATCACAGGCATGCACCACCATGCCCAGCTAATTTTGCATTTTTAGTACAGATGGGGTTTCACCATGTTGGTCAGGCTGGTCTCAAACTCCCAACTTCAGGTGATCCACCCACCTTGGCCTCCCAAAGTGCTGGGATTACAGGCGTGAGCCACAGAGCCCAGCATGTTTTTGTTTTGTTTTGTTTTTTGAGATAGAGTCTCACTCTGTCACCCAGGCTGGAGTGCAGTGGTACAATCTCAGCTCACTGCAACCTACACCTCCCAGGTTCAAGCAATTCTCCTTCCTCAACCTCCTGAGTAGCTGGGACTACAGGTGTGCACCACCCTTCCTGGCTAATTTTTGTATTTTTAGTAGAGACAGGGTTTCACCATGTTGGCCAGGCTGGTCTTGATGCTTCCAGATTTATGTTGGCTTCTAGCCCTGTGGAGGTTTGCTTGTGAACCACCTGCTATGTGCTGAGGCTCTGAAAGAGGTATGTGGAAAAGAAAAAAGCTCAAGGGAGGTGGTGTTTAGTCTTTGGGGGCTCCCCATATGGCAGCCCAGGAACTCTGGCGTCCTCTCTGAGCAGCCCAGACTCCTAGCAGCCAGGCTTGCCTGGAAGGGCTAGACCAGAGAGCCCAGGCTAGAGGACAGTTTTTCTCCTGACCTGGAGAATTTTTATGCCAGTGAAGGGCTCACTTTATCCCGCACCAGCCCATTCTGCTGCATCTCCTGCCGCTCTCCACACACATGCTCCGTTGTTGTTGTTTTCTCCTTAACAACAGAAAAGCCAATTCTGGAAAAATGAGATTCTATGTAAGTGCCTTGGAGTGTCTCTAGATATAGACAGATGTAGGTGATAATTAAATGATGTGAAGAATCCCAAGTTAAAAAGCTACCTGGCAGGTGTAATGGCTCAGGCATGTAATCCCAGCACTTTGGGAGGCTGAGGCAGGCAGGATTGCCTGAGGCCAGGAGTTTGAGACCAGCCTGGGCAACATAGTGAGACCCCCCGATCTCTGCAAAACAATTTTTTTAAAACTATCCCATGCTTTCAATTCCTCCTTGGGTTTTCTGGGTCAAGGTGTGGATTTCCTTTCAAGACTGTCACAGGCTTGGGGTTGGCTGCAGGGTCTGCCCTCTGGGGTGGGTGAGGGGGAGACAGGAGGTACCTCTGCTGGTCCCCAGTAGAGGGAGCGTGTGGCCTTTCCACACCAGCCCCTCAACAACCTGTTCTCACCCCAGGTCATGTTTCTTTGCAGTTTAAGAAGCTGGGGTACAGGCAGCCCTGGATCCAGGTGCCTACTTCCTGGGTCTACCTGACAGGTAAGGAAAGGAGTGTGTGTAGAAAAGCCCTCTGTGTCCCAGGTGTACCTTGCATAGCCTTAATTGAAACTTAGGGCCAGGCGCCGTGGTTCACGTCTGTAATGCTAGCATTTTGGGAGGCTGAGGCAGGCAGATCACCTGAGGTCAGGAATTCCAGACCAACCTGCCCAACACGGTAAAACCCCGTCTCCACTAAAAGTACAAAAATCAACCGGGTGTGGTGGCGCACGCCTGTAATCCCAGCTCCTTGGGAGGCTGAGGCAGGAGAATCGCCTGAACCCAGGAGGCGGAGGCTGCAGTGAGCAGAAATTGTACCATTGCACTCCAGCCTGGGTGACAGAGCAAGACTCTGTCTCAAATTTTTAAAAAAGAAAAGAAAAAAAACTCAGGGTCAGGACTAGGATGAGGACAGTGAGGCACTGTGGGCACAAATTTAAGGAGGTCGAGCAGCAACTCCAAGCCTGGTTTTGCACTTGCCTGCTGCTGGGAGCAAGCGCCTCCTTAAATTCCACACCCTAGTCCCACCTTTTTCCACGTGCAAGGCAGCCATTAATGGGCCCATTGTAAAGTTGAGGTAGCTGAGGCTCTGAGAGGTTAGTGACTTGCTCAAGGTGCCACAGTAAGAAAGTAGGAGAGCAGAATTCACACCTGGGTTTGGCAGGCTGCTCGTGGTGCTACTGGGAGTTCGCATGCCAGTCAGGAGGACAGAGAGCCCTGGGGCTGTTCTGTCCCACAAGGTCACTCTGAAGTTAGAGCCGCTTTAGAACAGAGACTCCATTTTGATCCTAGATTCTCCTCCTGTGCCTGAAGGTCAATCTCTCTTCCCACCTCCAGCCCCGACAGTGAGTCCTGGCTGCTGCCCTTCCCTCTGTCTCCAGCACCCATCCACTGGCCTCCTCCCAGCTGCAGACATGGAGTGACCAGGCTGAGGGGGATGATAGCTCTCCAGCCCAAATAGTTGTGTTCCAGGGATGCCTGTTGTATTTTAAATGCATCGAGTGGCTTGCTATTAAAAGCAGGGGCTTGCAAATTTGTGTTCACCAGGGTACACGTGCAGGGCAACTTCTCACGTGCAGCACTCTCACAGTGATTGGCACTCCTGGCCTTGAGCCACGGCTGTGGGCACTTGGAGAGGACTACAAATGCATTCCCAATTCCTAGTGGGCTAAAAGTAACTACGTGCTTCTCAACCCGAGTTGCACTTTACAGTCACCTGGGAGCTTTTGAAACAGAGAAATGTCTCAGCCACACCACTGACCAATTAAATTGAGATCAGCAGGGCGGAAGCAGGAGGGAAGCGTCAGTATTTTTAATTTTTTTAGTCAGGGTCTTGCCCTGCCACCCAGGCTGGAGTGCAGTGGCATGATCAGAGCTCACTGCAGACCCAACCTTCTGGCCTCAGGCAATCCTCTGCCTCAGCCTCTCAAGCCTCTAGGACAGGTGTCCCCAAACTACGGCCTGCGGGCCGCATGCGGCCCCCTGAGGCCATTTATCCGGCCCCCTGCCGCACTTCAGGAAGGGGCACCTCTTTCATTGGCGGTCAGTGAGAGGACCACAGTATGTGGCGGCCCTCCAACGGTCTGAGGGACAGTGAACTGGCCCCCTGTGTAAAAAGTTTGGGGATGCCTGCTCTAGGACTACAGGCTCCTTCCACCAGGTCCAGCTAATTTTTATACTTTAGTAGTGATGGGGTCTTGCTGTGTTACCCCAGCTGGTATAGAACTCCTGGACTGAAGCAATCCTTCCACTTCAGCCTCCAGAGTAGTGGAGATAACAGGCATGCACCTCTGTGCTGACTATTTTTTCAATTTTTTTAGAGATCGGGGAGGGTCTCACTTTGTTGCCTAGGCTGGTCTTGAACTCCTGGCTTCAAGATCTCCTCCCTTCTCAGTCTCCCATACTGGGATTACAGGCATGAGCCACCATACCTGGCTCTCACCAGTATTTTTTTTTTAATAAAATAGGTAGATCATGATAGATCAGGAACCAGTATGTTTTTTAAATTGGTCCTACGTGCAGCCCAGTTTGAGGACTGTTACTCCAACCTCCTTCTCTCCTATTCTAGAGAGCGAATTGGAGTAGAAGTGAGATAGATTATTATATGAGTCACTTTGAATCTGCCCAGATTTTCTTAAAGCTTCAGTCCTTTAATTTTGTATTTTATTTTATTTTATTTGAGACAGAGTCCTGCTGTGTCACCCAGGCTAAAGTGCAGTGGCATGATCTCAGCTCACTACAACCTCTGACTCCCGGGTTCAAGTGATTCTCCTGTCAGCCTCCCAAGTAGCTGGGACTACAGGCATGTGCCACCACACCCGGCTACTTTTTGGATTTTTAGTAGAGACGGGGTTTCACTATGTTGACCAGGCTGGTCTTGAACTCCTGACCTCATGATCTGCTCACTTCAACCTCTCAAAGTGCTGGGATTATAGGCGTGAACCACCAAGGCTGGCTTTTTTTTTTTTTTTTTTTTTTTTTTTGAGATAGAGTCTTGTTCTGTTGCCCAGGCTGGAGTGCAGTGGTGCAATCTCCGCTCACTGCAACCTCTGCCTCCCAGGTACAAGTGATTCTCCTGCTTCAGCCTCCCTAGTAGCTGGGATTACAGGTGTCCACCACTATGCCCAGCTAATTTTTATATTTTTAGTAGAAACGGGGTTTCACCATGTTGGCCAGGCTGGTCTCAAACTCCTGATTTCAGGCAATCCACCCACCTCGGTCTCCCAAAGTGCTGGAATTACAGGCCTGAGCCACTGCACCCAGCCCAGCCCTTTAATATTAAAAACAAGTTACTTGTGCCGGGCGCGGTGGCTCAAGCCTGTAATCCCAGCACTTTGGGAGGCCGAGGCGGGTGGATCACGAGGTCGAGAGATCGAGACCATCCTGGTCAACAAGGTGAAACCCCGTCTCTACTAAAAATACAAAAAATTAGCTGGGCATGGCGGCTCGTGCCTGTAATCCCAGCTACTCAGGAGGCTGAGGCAGGAGAATTGCCTGAACCCAGGAGGCGGAGGTTGCGGTGAGCCGAGATCGCGCCATTGCACTCCAGCCTGGGTAACAAGAGCAAAACTCCGTCTCAAAAAAAAAAAAAAAAAAAAAAAAAAAACAAGTTACTTGTGACTTATTTCACAGCTAAACAAGGCACCCCAGCACAGGCTGCTGATTTAAAGGAATCCAATGACTTTTGCAAAGTGACCTCTAGCAAAGCAAATGATGCCCCTCATTGGTTTGTCCCTGAGGGCCTCTCAGGAGTTTGCATAATGTGAGGTCCCTGGTCACTGGCCCCCTCCCTCCCCGCAGCGGCAGTGATGGAGCACCTGCATCTGGCCCTGAGACCCATCTGCAGCCTCCCACCGCTGCTCACCCGGAGTGAGGTAAGTGAGCTGCTGCTATGGGAGCCCCAGCCTTGCTCCCCCTCCCTCCCTTCCCACCTCTCCCCGCCGCCCCCACTGCTGCCACTCCTTACCCCTTTGACGTCCATGATGACAGATGCTTGTCTGAGGTCTCCATGTGGGTCCAAAGCTGGTGCTAGCTCTGTTATTATCACCCCAACCTCTGAGCTTTTGCTGAGGCTGTGCCTTCTGGGTCTCAAATGTGACAGCTCCAAGCCCATCCATCATCACTGTTCTTTTCATTCATAAGCATCTTGTCTTTCCAGCCAGACTGGGGGCTCTCAAAGGCAGGTTTCAGGCATTCACTCCTTTGAATGTTACCAATCCCATCAACTCTCAACACATACACACACACACACACACACACACACACACACACACACACACAACAGCCTGACAGTCCTAGGCTGATAGTTATGCTTACTGAATAAGTATATATTAAGTACCTACTGTATACAGAATATAAGTCTTTATGAGACAGGGTCTCACTATGTGGTCCAAGCTGGTCTCAAACTCCTGAGCTCAAGAGATCCTCTTGGCCAGGTGTGGTGACTTGCACCTATAATCCCAGTGCTTTGAGAAGCTGAGACAGGAGGATCACTTGTAAGCACCTCCCTGGGCTTGTACCAGCCCCTGCCCCACCTTCGGGGTTTGAGCACACCTCTGCTTCACCCCTTGAATCCTGGCCACGCCCCTGAGGCCAGGAGTTTGAGACCCGCCTCGGCAACATAGCGAGATCTCAGCTCTACAAAAAATTTAAAAATTAGCCAGGCAAGGTGGTGCATGCCTTTAGTCCCAGCTCAGGTGGGAGGATCGCTTGAGCCCAGGAGTTCAAGGCTGCAGTGAGCTATGATTGCACCACTGTATTTCAGCCTAGGAAACAGATGGAGACCCTACCCCTAAAAAAAAGAGAGAGAACGATTCTCCCCTTTTAGCCTCTTAAGGGGAGGCTACAAGTCGCCTGAGATTACAAGCATGTGCCACCATGCCTGGCTCAGAATACTATTCTCATAAGAATGATGATGCAGGTTTATATTTGCTTAGTTAAAAGAGAGAATGTTTTCATCACAGACTGTAAATAGCAAAGCAGTAGGTGGTGGTTGAGGTTATTTGCAAAAATCCTTCCAGTCAACTCTCTTGTTTGATTCTCTCTGATGCCCTGCTAAGTCAGAAATATCAAAAAGATCGTGATCTCCATTTTATGATGAAAAACTGAGCATGAGGAAAATTAGTGATTTGTCCAGGGCCACACCATACCGGAGTTGGCTTTAGACTCCATGTTTAGTGTTATTTAACCAGGGGAGTCAGAGAGGGAGAGTGCAGAATGGGCCACAGAAAGAAGGAGTGGTTTCCCCTTTGAGCCATCTAGATTAGTAGAGGAGAGAATAAGATGATAGTGACCATCTCTTGGGTGATGACAATATGCCAGGCACTGTGCTTTATTTCATTTCATCTTCATTACCACTCTGAGTTGTAGACTCCAGAGAGGAGGAAATGAGACACACAGTGAAATAAACTGCCCATGGTCACTCACTTAAATGGCAGAGCTAGGATTTGAACCCAGTCCTCAGTGATTTCAAGCTTAACTATTAGCTTTTGAAATGCATCAGGAATCGCATCCACATAAAATAGCTGCCAGGCTGCTGCTGAATTGTGATCAGGCAGGGACGTGGCTCCTCTCCCTCTTAATTAAGTTGGAAATTTCCTTCTTCAGCCCTGAGGTAGTGTCCTTAACTGTGGAAGTTCCTTGGCTGTGGCTCGGGTACCCTCTGCTGGTCAATCTGTGACACAGCAACCAGCCCTCCAGTTTGACTTTACAGCCTTTATGCATTTAACATGTATGGAGCATTTCCTGTAGTACCAGGCACTGAGCTAAGCAATGGAGGCGAGAAGACATAGTCCTTACCCTCGGGGAGCTCCTAGTCCAAAGGGGAAGACATCCCATTGACCAGGCAACTCAACCCTGTAATTAGAGCCATTCTTGGGAAAATCGAGAGAAAGCCAGTGCACACAGAAGAGGGCACCTATGCCAACTCTGAGGAAGTCAAAGGACGCTTCCCAGAGGAGGTGACATCTAGAGACATCTAGGTGTGTTAGGGACCCTGCTTATCTAGCGTAACTCAGCTCCTGTGCTCCTCAAAGCCCTGCACTTACCCCCCATTAAGCATCTAAGACCACAGGTTTGACCCCAGGGGCTGTTTCAGTGGCACTGGAGAATCTAGCAGCTGGCGAACTCTTCCCCGGGGTCTGACTGAAGAACAAGAGAAGAAGAAATGAGTCAGGTGGGAGGGCATCTCCAGGTGCCAGCACAGCAGGGAAGGACTTAGGCTAAAATCTGGCTCCCCTGTGTGACCCCCGGCAAGTCACTCAACCTCTCTGACCATTTTCCAAGTATACACAGAACAGATAGTGCTAGTACCACCTTAGAGGATTAAATGAGGTAAGGCATAGAAAGGATTTAGCCCAGGCCAAGTGCAGGGTGTGTGTTCCTTAACTGACAGCTGTCATTACTACCCTTGAAACCACTGGGCCCCAAGCCATCTGGCAGCAGGGGAAACACAGCTTTGAGAGTAATCGGTTCTGCATAATCGAATTCCTCTCTTAGGGAAGCTTAGTTAATAAGCGAGGCCGTGAAGGCTGCCCCTGGGGCCCGCCTAGCCACAGTTGGTCTGGGGCTGGGGGCAGGAAGCCAAGGTCGTTTTCTGGAGATCTGTTTCTGGCAGGTGTTCAGCTTCTCCTTGCCGATGCCTAAGAATGTATCAAGGGCCTCCTGAGTCCCAGCACCGTGCTAGGCTGGGAAGAGGAGATCTCTGCTTCCTAAGGGTCAGGGGTTAGATCTCTGCTTCCTAAGGGTCAAGGGGTTAAACAAGGGTGCGAATTCAGCGGGGCTGGAGGGGGCGATGCAGAGGCGGCAACCTCCAATAAAAATGAAGATGGAGAGAAGAAAGGAAGTCCTCCCTAATGAGGGCATCGCAGGAGCAAGACGCTGCACTTAGGTTCTTTTAAATCGCTGTGCAATGGAGGGGACATTCCTACCCTCTCTTCCCTTTCTGTGAACAGCGAGGTAGAGGATGCCCCCTTCCCACGAGCCCCGCCCTCGGATGCCCCACCTGTCCCCGCAGGTGCGAAGCGTGGCCGTGACGCACACCTTCCAGATAGCCAAGGCCCGCGCCCAGCTCGGCTATGCGCCGGACAAGTTCAGCTTAGCCGACGCCGTGGAGCGATACATGGAGTCCACTAGCCGGCGACCCCGCAGCTCCACGGCGCAGACGCTCCTGCTGCCGCTGCTCGGACTGCTGCTGCTCCTAGGCTCGCTCGCCCTGGCCCTGCACTTCCTAGGCCTGCAGCCTCTACAGGCCGCCATGAAGCGCCTCTGACCGTCCGCCGTCCGCCGCCCGCCGCCCGCCGGGGTCGGCCCTGCTGCACCCCTGCCCTCGCCCAGCTCTCTCGGCTGGTACCAGCCCCTGCCCCGCCTTCTGGGTCTGAGCGCGCCTCCGCTCCGCCTCTTGAATCCTGGCCACGCCCCTGAGCCGCCCTCCAGACCCCGCCTCGCCGCCCGAGTCCTGGCCGTGCCGCTGACTACTCCCAGACCTTGCCTCGCACACCTGCCTGTGTTTTGGCCCCGCCTCTGTCCCTGCCCCACCCTTCGAAGTGGGCACGCTCCCCGGGCGCCCCCTGAATCCTGGCCACGCCCCTGGTCGGCCAGGGGGCCTAGCCCCAGCCCCTTTCCGTGTTTTGGCCCCGCCCTTCAAATTGGGCATGTCGTCCCCCGCACGCCTCTGCCCCGCCCCCTGACTTCCTGGCCTGTTCCTGGGCCGCTCTCCAGGCCTAACCCCGCCCCCGTGTTATAGCCACGCCCCTCTCCCCTCCCTGTTCTGGCCCGCCTTCTGATTCGTAGTCACAACTTCCCCCCCTTCCCCGCCTCCTGAGTCTTGGCTACGCCCATGACCCGCCCTCCATGTCCTGGCCCTGCTTCCTTTTTCCTCCCTCTGGCCTGGCCCGGTTACTGAGAGGTCAAAGCTCACAGGCTGCTCCGTCTTCCGGCCCTTCTCCTAGTCCCTGCCCAGTCCTGGCTCTCCCCAGATCTGGTATTTGCTCCCTTTCTGGTCCTCCTCGCGCGCTTGAGCCCACCCCTTGGCTTCTCGTTGGGGTCTGGCCTTGCACCTCCCTCTGGGTCCAGTCCCGCCCTTCTCGCGTTAATTGGGTCCTGGCCCTGCCCCCTCCCTCTCTGGCTCCACCTTTTTCCAGCCCCGTCTCCTGGGTGGGTTCTCCTTGGGGCCTGGCCGCAGCAGTCGCTGTGGGCTAATGCTGGCTGGGGTGGCGTCGTCAGGAGTTTGCGCCGTCGGCTGCTGCTCTGGGACAGTGAACCCGCCTCCCCGCCCAGGCTCTCTGGGCTTGTCCTGAGATCGTCTCAGAATCCCGAGTTAGACCCGCTCTGTCTGGTCACATTGCATTGGATCCACCCCGACCCGAATGTTCTGGGCTTCTCATTCACACAGATCTAGGTGTTGACAGCCTGGGCTGGGGGAAAAACCGGGACCCAAGCTTCTGCCGATCCCTACTTGGCCCTTTTGGGTTCCTGTCTGGAGATGACAGCACAGTAAGCACAGGTTTCAGTACCAGAAAGAGCATCAAAAAATTTAATTAAAAAAAAAAAACTTAATTGGATGTCCCAGTGAAGTACCAATAAAGTTATAATGGGAAAAATAGAGTTTAGTAGGTTATATTTTATTATTTAGTACTGTTTCTATTTATTGAGAGGTAGTGGTGATCACCATAATCTTTAAAGTTTAACGTCACAAAACTTCTTAATCCAGCCCTGCTCTCCACAGAAATCACCCCCACCCCCACCATAGTCTTGGTGTCAGTTATCAGTGGTGAGTACCAAGACATCAGAGTGTAAATACAGCCATGTATAGATCATAATATGCACACGTGGGACTGGCACAGAAGAAAAGCATCCCAAGCCTGAGGTGGAGGGGACGGAATGGGCTCATCAGAACCAACATGGACACCGCAGAGTGGGTCCCACTCTGCTGAACAAGGTGGGCAGTTTGGGAAGGAGCAAAAACAAACGAACAAACAGAAACAGTATGCTCCTCTCTGCTAGGCTGAATTGTATGTGTGTATGTAATTTTTTAAAGATCGATAATAAACCTTTATGTCTGTTTAATGCATGACAGTGTGAAAGGGATTTCATCTATATGATCTTGTTTAATTCTTACAGCCACCCTTAAATAGGGTTTATTATTCTCCCTTTATAGGGAAACGGGCTTTGTCTCATTCCAAAGAGCAGAGGAGGGTGAGGGTTTCTGCTCTAAATTTGGAGGAACATCGCCTAAGCCCCCACTGACCTAAACACAACACAGGGTGAATTCTATTCTTTTGCACCCTGGCCATGCCAGGCTTACATTTGACCTCTGGGATTGGTTTTGTTCTCTCAGATCCGCAAAACTTGGGCTATTTGAAGCTGACAGTCCTGGGGCTTCCTTTCCTCTCAATAACATGCTTACATTGAAACTTCCTTCCTCTCTTTCTTCTCCCTGCTAATCCTGGGAAATCTGTTCTTAGAGCAGGAAAAACAATCTCACACCTCTAAAGTACACAGAGCAGAGCAGGCCAGAAATGGGGCCCCCTTCAACTCAGGTCATGATTACAACCACCCCCAACTAACCCTGGAAAGACCCAGACAGACTGTTGGGAACTTTTCAAGTTAGCTCAGACGCTTTCCCCTGGAGAGCCTGTTTTTTTGTTTTTTTGTTTTTTTGTTTTTTGTTTTTTGTCTTGCTTCGAGGGAGGTGGATGGGTAGGTGAAAGAGAGGTTTGTGTACTGGGCTACAGCGTGAGAGAGGCTGCACGACCGTTTCTTCCTTTTCTCCGTCCTTCCCCCTTCCATTAAAAAAAAATTGATTAGAAGCAATCTAAAGCTTTAAAAAAAGAAAGAGCGTCAGAAAGGAGGAAAAAAGAGGAGAGGTTGGAGAAGGACTACCTGCAGAGATCGAAGGTTGGTTAAGGGATAGAAAAGTGAAACCCGCCTGGGGTGTGGCAGCGGTGGGATTCGAACCCACGCCATCGAAATGACTGGAGCCTAAATCCAGCGCCTTAGACCACTCGGCCACGCTACCAACCGTTCGCACGTTTTTCTGTGCAGCTATATTAATGTGATGACGCAGGTGCCCCCCCCCCCGCCCTCAAACTGCGCATGCTCTATATGGAACCGGCGTTCGCTGCGTCACTCAGGGAGTCCTGGAATCACAGTGCTCTGGAGATCAGCAGTAGTAAATACACTAGGAAAGCACTATTAAAACGAAGAGAGTCTAAATAGCAAACATTAATATTTTTAATATTAAATCCTCACATGTGTTTGGATTTGCTTTTGCGTTTTCCTTGGGCGTGATCCTGCCCATAGCCACGTGGGGGCGCTCTCGCACTGCCTCTTTCTCCCAGGTGGGCCGAGGTCTCGCGCTGAGCCCCAGTTTGTACCAAATCAAGCTGAGTCCTCAACCTGCAGACGATCTGTCCAGCTCAAGGCGCCTCTGTAGCCTTGCGTGGCCTCACAGCCTACCCCTAGCCCTCGCGATCTAAGAATCAAGGGTTCAGGGAGGAAAATCGTTGAACGTTGTTACAGATTCTTTGCACGTGCAGGCTCTTTCCATCTCAAACTATACAGCTTTCATTAGCTGTGCGACCTATTTTACAGAGGAGGAAAATACAGCCACTAAGTAACTAGCTTCGGGTGCCCCAGCCAGCCGGCATTCCCTAGCCTTCCAAGACCCTTGTTCATCCATGTAGAGGATTTTAGTGTATTTTAGGGGAAAAAAAAATACAATAAATGTAGAGTACAACCTAGCAAAATTCCATTTCCCACCATTCAGAATTATTACTAATATTTTGCATATTAGCTTCAATTTTTTTTTTTTTTTCTTTTGAGACGGAGTTTCGCTCTTGTTACCCAGGCTGGAGTGCAATGGCGCAATCTCGGCTCACCGCAACCTCCGCCTCCTGGGTTCAGGCAATTCTCCTGCCTAAGCCTTCTGAGTAGCTGGGATCACAGGCCCCTGCCCCTACGCCCAGCTAACTGTATTTGTTTTGTTTGTTTGTTTGCTTGGTTGCTTTTAGTAGACACAGGGTTTCACCATGTTGGTCAAGCTGGTCTCGAGCTCCTTGACCTCAGGTGACCCACCCGCCTCAGGCTTCCAAAGTGCGGGGATTACAGTAGTGAGCCACCATGGCCGGCCACCACAGGGTTTTTATACCGGCACTGGTCACTTGGTGGCATTCCACATGCATCTCTCCAAACCCCCTGTTTTAAGTAGGGGGTCTCTCCCAGGATGATACCGGACCCTGCTGGGAGGTCAACTCCAGGAGGGCAAGTGATGCTGTCTTGTTCATCTACTGCTGTATCCTCAGGACCTAGAACAGTGTGGGCAGCAGGAATATTCCTTGAAAAAAATAGTTTTGCATTCTTGGTTAAGTCCACTCCATCTTGCCAAGTGAACTTGAGAGTCAGAGATAGATGCTTTCGGCTGGAGCTGCCCAACATAAGGGCTCAGAGAACTTTTGTCTGAACTTGAGTTTCAGCAAGGAACACCGTTACTTTTGCAAAAGTTATTTTGTGACTTGTGACTTGCCCTCTGTGGCCACAAGAGGGAAGCAGCGTTCTCTTTAGGTAAATTTCCCTACAATTACTCAAAGCCTCTTCTGGCAGTTGGACCATCTGCCAGCACCATCACTTCCCTAACTCTGTCTCTGATCATTTAATGCAACTCAACGTCTGCCCGGCACCTGCTAGGCTTGATCAGCCAAAGATCAGGCCTTGCAGGCTCTGGGAGGGGACGAGAACTGTTTCTGGAGCTGCTTAGAACCATTGTGCTGGAGTTGCTTTCTCTAACAGAATAAAAACCCAGTGGTAGAGCCAGGCGTCGTGGCTCATGCCTGTAATCCCAGCACTTGAGACCAAGGCAGGCAGATCGCCTGAGGTCAGGAGTTCGAGACCAGCCTGGCCAACATGGTGAAACTCTGTCTCCACTAAGAATACAAAAATTAGTCAGGCATGGTGGCACGCACCTGTAATCCCAGCCACTCGGTTGGCTGAGGCAGGAGAATCACTTGAACCCGGGAGGCGGAGGTTGCCATGAGCTGAGATAGTGCCACTGCACTCCAGCCTGGGCAACAGAGTGAGACTCCGTTTCAAATAAAATAAAATAAAATTCAGCTGTGTAGGCAAGGCCACCAGTTCCCCTGCTCCACCCTGCCTTTCTCCAGCCCCGACGCCCTGCTGGCCTCTCACAGTCCTGCTGACAAGGCGTCTCTGCTGATTCATGCCTTCGAGGGTGACGCTGCCAGGGCAGCTCATATGCAAAAAGCCCAGCCACGGCCAAGCAAGGGTGGGGAGGCCACAGACGCCAGAGCAGCTGGGCTGTTTGGTTGTTTTTGTTTTTGTTTTCTTCTATGTGACATTTAAAAATAACTTGGCAAAAGTAATGCATTTTTCTTGTTGAAACTCAAGCAAAGAAAGGAAAAGCACGAACAAGAATAATAATCTCTTTTCATGTCTCCACCCAGCTAAATTCTGTCAATCCTTTTGGTAAGGGAAACTTGGTTTTGTCTTTTTTTTTTTTTTGAGACGGAGTTTCGCTCTTGTTACCCAGGCTGGAGTGCAATGGAGCGATCTCGGCTCACCGCAACCTCCGCCTCCTGGGTTCAGGCAATTCTCCTGCCTCAGCCTCCCGAAGTGCTGGGATTACAAGAATGAGCCACTGTGCCTGGCCTTGGCATTCTTCTAGTGGCTAATGATGTTGAGCGTCTTTTCACGTCCTTATTGGCCATTTGTACATCTTTGGAGAACTGTCTATTCCAATTGTTGGCCCACTTTTAAATTGGGCTATGTATTTATCTTTTTATTATTGAGTTGTAAGGGTTCTTTATGTATTCTCCCTGCAAATCCCTTATCAGATGTGATTTGCAGATTTTTTTCCCATTCTCTGGTTGTCTTTTCGCTTTCTTTTTTGTTTGTGGGGTTTTGTTTTTGTTTTTGTTTTTGTTTTTTGAGACAAGGTCTTACTCTGTTGCTCAGCCTAGAGTGCAGTGGTGAGATCTTGGCTCTCTGCAACCTCTGCCTTCCAGGCCCAAGCGCCCCTCCCACCTCAGCCTCCTGAGTAGCCGGGACCATATATGCAAGCCACCACGTATGCACATATGGCTGATTTTTGCATTTTTTTTTTTGATAAGGATGGGGTTTTACTATGATTCCCAGGCCAGTCTCGAATTCCTGAGCTCCAGCAATCTGCCCACTTCAGCCTCCCTTTGGGATTAGAGGCGTGAGCCACTGCGCCTGGCCTTTTTCATTTATTTATTTAATTTTTAGAGACAGGTCTCACTCTGTTGCCCAGGCTGAAGTGCAGTGGCATAATCATAGCTCACTACAGTTTCAAACTGCTGGGCCCAAGAGATCCTCCTGCCTCAGCTTCCTGCGTATCTGGGACTACAGGCACACACCACCACACCTGGTTAATTTTTTTAATGTTTTATTTTAGAGACAGACATCTTGCTACGTTGCCCAGGCCCCATTGATCCTCCTGCCTTGGCCTCCCAAAACTCCGACATGTGTGAGCCACCGGGCTGGCCTTGATTAATTTCGTTTTACCACAGTAGACATCTCCTTGAAGGAAAGTGTTTCTCCCACTTCCTAGCACCATATTTGGCACACAATAGGAGCTTAATACATATTTGCCATAAGAATGAATGCTCAGGCTAGGCGTGATGGCTCATGCCTGTAATCCCAGCACTTTGGGAGGCCAAGGTGGGTGGATCACAAGGTCAGGAGTTTGAGACTAACCTGGCCAATATGGTGAAACCCTGTTTCTACTAAAAATACAAAAAAATTAGCTGGGCTTGGTGGCACATGCCTGTAATCCCAGTTACTCAGGAGGCTGAGGCAGGAGAATTGCTTGAATCCAGAGGCGGAGATTGCAGTGAGCCGAGATTGTGCCACTGCACTCCAGCCTGGGCCACAGAACGAGACTGTCTCAAAAAAAGAAAAAAAAAAGATTGAATGCTCAGAAACTCTATGATTACATGCTACATGCTCAACAACTCCCTGGAAAGGAGATATTCTGTTTTTATGGTTACTATAAAAGGCACGGATTAGTATTTCATTGGCCTAACTTGGATCATATGCTCATCCCTGAACCAATCAATGGGGCTGAAGGGATAAAATATGCTAATTGATCAGGTCTGGTCTTCTGTTCATTTTGGAACCAAGGGAGTGGGGAGGGCTATTTTCCTGAACTGAGAATAGAGTAAGCTGTTTCCTTGAAGTCTAATCAAGATGCTCATGCAAAGAAGGACACTCCTGCTGGGCAGACAAAAATAACAGAGGCTCAGAGAGATAAAATAACTTGCTCAAGGGCCATAGAGCTTTAAGCAGTAGGTTTTTTTTTATTATTATTATTTTTTGAGACGGAGTTTCACTCTTGTTACCCAGGCTGGAGTGCAATGGCGCGATCTCGGCTCACCGCAACCTCCGCCTCCAGGGTTCAAGCAATTCTCCTGCCTCAGCCTCCTGAGTAGCTGGGATTACAGGCACGCGCCACCATGCCCAGCTAATTTTTTGTATTTTTTAGTAGAGACGGGGGTTTCACCATGTTGACCAGGATGGTCTCGATCTCTTGACCTCGTGATCCACCCGCCTCGGCCTCCCAAAGTGCTGGGATTACAGGCTTGAGCCACCGCGCCCGGCAGGTTTTGTTTTTTGTTTTTTGTTTTTGTTTTTTTTTTTTTTCAATTTTGCTTTGAGCTTGGACAGACTATCTCAGCATCTTTGATATTTCCTTCTTGCCTGACCGCCTCAGGGTCAGAATTCTAGGTGCAATTTTGTCTTTTGCCAAAAGCTGGAGTTTACTCTCTTAGCGGGTTATACATAAAGAGAAAGGTTCTTTGGAGAGCCTGAACTTTGAAATCAGACAAGTCTGGATTTAGTGTGGGCTCTGTCTTTCCTAGATGCATCACCTGGGGCCTATCATCTCACAAGCCTCAGCTTTGTTCTTGTTTGTTTGTTTGTTTTTTGAGACGGAGTCTAACTCTGTCACCCAGGCTGGAGTGCAATGGCACAGTCTCGGCTCACTGCAACCTCCACCTCCCAGGTTCAGGCGATTCTTGTGCCTCAGCCTCCGGAGTAGCTGGGACTACAGGCCACCACACCGGCTACTTTTTTGCGTTTTTAGTAGAGACGGGGTTTCGCCGTGTTGGCCAGGCTGATATCGAACTCCCAACCTCAGGTGATCCGCCTGCCTCGGCCTCCCAAAGTGCTGGGAAGATGGAATGAGAGAAATCCCTCAATAAATGTCACTGTTACTACTTTTATATCTAAAATGTGTGAAATTTCTAAAATTTCACTAACAAAGTATCTGGAAAGACCTAAATCAAAGTTTTCACAGGAGTTATTAGTTTTAATTCGTTTTCTTCTTTATACCCGTCCATATTTATCCACTCTACCACTCATGCCAGGTATTTATTAAGCATCTACCATGTGCCAGCCAGACCCTGTGTCAAGAGTTAGGAATAAATAGAGGAGATATTAATTTTAAAACCACACGCATAGTTGCAATCATCATACGTGCCTGTTTTCACAAAGCAGAAATCAGGAAAAACAAAGTATTTTCGATGAAAATATTTTAAGGTTACGTATAGAGATTTACACAAACAAGCGATGGGGTTGGATCACTAGTGATTTTAGAAAGGGCTGGAATACAGGAACTAAGCCAGGAGCAGGCGAGAATGGCGAGGCGCGGCGGAAGAGGACGGAAGTCGCTCACTCCTTCGAATTGCACCCTGGCTGCCGGGTGCTAGGCCAGCCTCGCGCAGGAGAATCGGACACTGTGTACTCAGCAGGGGGAGCCGGGACTCAGCGCCAACCATTGCACCTGCGGCCGGGAGCCAGCGCCGGAGCCTGGAGGCCCGCTCGGCTGCTGCAGGCACCCTGACCGCCACCTGGGGGCAGCCACGTGAGCGCCACGCTGTGCGCCCGCCGGGCCAGCCCCGCCCCTGCCCGCCCGCTTCGGCTCAACCTCGCCAGGAGCCACAGCTGCAGCTTCAGGTCCGCTCCTGCCGGGATCGAGCGCCCGCACTCCCGGCGCTGCAAACACCCAAGTCCCGCTCGCTGCCGCCTGCACTCGAATCCCTGGCACGCGCCTCTCGCATCCCGGGATCGTCCCAGCGGCTGCCAAGCGCTCCCCGGGATCTCTCCGGCTGCCCAGAGAGCCCAGGGATCGGCCCATCTGCCCCGCGCGGCCCCAGCTGCGTCCTCGGAGCGCCAGCCCGCGCGCCCCGCTCTCCGCTCCCCGGCACTCTCGGGGGGCCCGCCCGCCCTGCACCCTGGAGCGCCGGGCCGCGAGCCTCTGCCAACTCTTCTGGATCCTCGCGGCCGTGGGCAGCGGCTGCCGCGCCTGTCTGCCGGAGGGAGGTAGGCGTGGACGGCGGCCGGCCAGGCTGTGGGGGGCTGGGAGCGGGCGCTGCAGGCCTGTGCGCCCCAGTGCAGCTGGCCTCTGGAGCGCTCTGGGTCTGGGCTTGAGAGTGGGGCCGGAGACGGCATGGAAGGAGAGTGTGGGGGCGCTTCTTCCCTGGTTGTTAAACTCTCTGGGGCCCAGTGCTTGCTTCGATAAAACGGGGAAGTTGTGCGGATTAACGGCGATGTGGCTATGGAAAGCAACTGGCAAGCAGTGGGCGGTGATCTGGCTGCAAGCGACCAATAGTTTGGGGGCCTCCGCCCGAGGTGCCCTCGGGGCCCCCAGAGGGTGGGCGCATCACAGCCTTCCTGTTCCTGCAGGGCTCGGAGCCGCACCCTCCACCCCTTTCCCCTGAACTGGAGGCCTGCGTCAGCTTGAATTCCCGGAACCTCTAGGACTGTGTAGACGCGCCCTTGCTGCATATTTGGCTGCGGGAGTTCGGTTGCTGGCAGGCGCCGCTGACATGTGCGCCAAGGGGCTGGGCATTAGTAAGCCGGTGGCTGCGCGGGGGTGGGGACCTCGCGGGTAAGCCCAGGCCTAGATCCTTTTGCGCGCGCCTAGGGAATTTCAGGGAACCAGCCCAGCTGCGCCCTGAGTGTGATAGATGGGCCGCATGGGGAAGTGAGATCTGCCCAGGTGAACGATCCCAGGGAGCCCCACCTCTGGAACCTCGCTGGTGGGCGCTTCTTTAGCTAGGAATGCAGGAAACACTAGGACTGGAGTCCTGGGTTGGAATTCTAGCTCGGTTATGCTCTCTGGCCCTCGGTTTCCTTATCAGTAAAGTGGGTACAGTATTTGTATCTACCTCTTAGTGTCCTTGGAATGAGTAGATGAGCCTGTATATGTCAGGTGCTTGGAACAGTGCTTGGCACACAGTGTGAAGGTCTGTCGCCCCGGAAGACATCTAATGGCCGAGGGCCCTGGACAGGCTGTAAAGTCTCGGGGAATTGAGCCACGTAGTCTATCCTAATGTTTTTAATGAGGAGGAAACTGAGGGTCAGAGTGGTCCCCAGGTCCCCAGAAGCTCCGTAAGAGGAAGCCAGTCACATAAACAGAAAAGCAAGATGGAGTAAGTGGTAATACAGAGCAAGCAGGTGGGAGCTGAGAATACCCGCTGTGTGTGTAAAGGGGAGAAGGTTAAACATCGCCTGAAATCTGTTTCAGGTGATGTTTAAGCTGAGTTGGGGAAAAGGCAGGTGGAAGGAGGTAGGGTTCAAAGATGGCGTATGTAGGTGTCTTCCTTCTCTGTGGCCTCCACAGCACCCAGTGTTCATTCCTTCATTCAGCTATTAACTCAACAAATACGGTGAAACCTCTCAACGACATGAATTTCAGTGTAACATGGCTGGGATTGGCGTCCACCCTCCTCTCAACCCCCTTTCTTTTTTTTTTTTTTTTTTGAGACGGAGTTTCGCTCTTGTTACCCAGGCTGGAGTGCAATGGCGCGATCTCGGCTCACCGCAACCTCCGCTTCCTGGGTTCAGGCAATTCTCCTGCCTCAGCCTCCTGAGTAGCTGGGATTACAGGCACGCGCCACCATGCCCAGCTAATTTTTTGTATTTTTAGTAGAGACGGGGTTTCACCATGTTGACCAGGATGGTCTTGATCTCTTGACCTCGTGATCCACCCGCCTCGGCCTCCCAAAGTGCTGGGATTACAGGCTTGAGCCACCGCGCCCGGCCAACCCCCTTTCTAAAAGAAGTCGGTGGGGACCCAAGTTCTTACCCTCTGCAGGGAATGGGGAGGCCGGAAGTCATGAGATGGTCACACTTTACACATAATCATAGGTGCACATGCCAAGAGCTTCCTGTTTTTTGGGTCAAGGGCGCAGTAGCTCAGGTCTGTAATCTCAGTACTTTGGGAGACTGAGGCAGGTGGATCACTTGAGGTCAGGGGTTCAAGACCAGACTGGCCAACAGGGCAAAACCCGGTCTCTATTTAAAAAAAAAAAAAAAAAAAAAAAAAAAAAATCAATGATCTGCTTTTAAAACATACTGTATTATGTGGCAGAAAAAGCTATGGATCACCAGTACCCACGTTCTCTTCTTCTTGGGGTGCTCTCTGGATGATTTTTCCCAGGCTCCCTTACCATTCGGTGGGGCCACATGACTGAGTTTGGCTGATGAAACATGAGTGTGTCCATTTCAAGCCTAGACCCTAAAAACCTCTCACTGTTTCCTCATTTGTTGGACAAGTCAAGGGGAAATTGAAGGCCTAGAAAAGGGTAGAGCCACAGCCATAAGGAGCGTTTTTTTTTGTTGTTTTTGAGATGGAGTCTCACTCTGTTGCCCAGGCTGGAGTGCAGTGGTGTGATCCCGGCTCACTGCAACCTCCGCCTCCCAGGTTCAAGCGATTCTCCTGCCTCAGCCTCCCGAGTAGCTGGGATTACAGGCACCTGCCACCATGCTCAGCTAATTGGTGTTTTTTTTTTTTTTTTTTTTTTTTTTTTTGGTATTTTTAGTAAAGAAGGGGTTTTGCCATGTTGGCCAGGCTGGTCTCGAACTCCTGACCTCATGATTAGCCTGCCTCAGCCTCCCAAAGTGCTGGGATTACAGGCGTGAGCCACCGTGCCTGGCTGTCTGGTCTAGTTCTTACACTTGAAGCAGAACAACTGAATGATCAAGACTATCGCCAAAGTAGTAATAGCAGCTGGTTGAACTAGTTTAAAAGAATCAAAAGTTTTTTCTGTTGAGGGAGATTGGTTCTGCTGACCTGGAAGCTGCAGATCATTACCTCAATGAACTGAGAATACTCCTAGAAGGTGGTTAGATTGATGATCTTGTTTACACCTGGGATGAAAGCGGCCTGGGCCTTAAAGTGTTGCTGGATCAAATTCTTGCAGCCAAGGCTGATAAGCACAAGCAAGAAGGCTTCTTTTTTGTTGTTTGTTTTGAGACAGGGTCTTGCTCTGTCACCCAGGCTGGGGTGCAGTGGGACAGTCACAGCTCACTGCAGTCTGGAACTCCTCGGCTCAAGTGATCCTCCTGCCTCAGCCTCCCAAGTAGCTGGGACTACAGACAGGAGCTACCACCCTGCCTGGCTTTTAATTTTAGTGTAGAGGTGGGGTCTCACTCTGTTGCCAGGCTAGGCTTGAACTGGACTCAAGCAGTTCTTCTGCCTTGGCCTCCCAAAGTGTTAAGATCACAGGCATGAGCCACTGTTCCTGACCATAAGAAGGCTTCAGACAAAGGAAGGAGTGAGTCACTAATGCACTGATGATAAAGTAGAAGATGACAGTCCCTCCCACAACCCCCAAAGTCCCAGGGCTGTGGGACTCCTAGAGAAGCGTTTCAAAGGGCTAGAGTCAGAGGGTGGATGGTATTCTGTTCTCCATCTGTGAAGCTTTCGAGAGCTAGCAAGGTCTAGCAAGCCACAGGAAGCACCCGGAAGTAGGTGGCTAAACTGCAGAAAATTTCTCAAGGCCAGTGCTTCTCCAGCTTCAGTGCACATCAGCGCCCCCAGGAGGGCTTGCTTAAACTTTGACTGCTGGACCTATCCCCGGAGTTTAATTTAGTAGGTCTGGAATGAGGCTTGAGAATTTGCATTTCCAGCAAGTTGCCAGACTGCTGTGGCTGCTGTGGCAGCTGGTCCCACGCTTTTAGAAGGGCTGGTTCAGGAAGTGGTGACTGTGTTGGGAGCCCTGGATTCAGCCCGCACCAGCTTCAAACCCACCCCCCCTATGTTCTAGTCATGTGATTTTTGGGTAAGCCACATAACCTCTCTGTTCCTTAGCTTTCTCATCTGTAGAATAAAGCTAAGAGTGACTACCTCTTGGGGTTCAGGGAGGCTTCCCGGAGGAGGTGACATCTAAGCTGAGGCCTGAGGAATGAGCAGACAAGTTGGCCAGGGGACAGGTAGGGAGGACGGGAGCCCAAGGAGGAAGGAGCGCATGCCTTCTAGGGAACTGAGAGGGGTTATGTAGCAAGTGCTTTGTAAGTGATATTGAACTGCTACCAATCTGTTCTGGGCAGGACTGCAGTGGAGAGAAAGCCAACCATGGTATGGGAAATGGGCTGCTGGAGGGGCTCAGAAGCAGAACTAGTTATTTGAGCCCTTCTTTCATTGGTTAGAATGCAGTCACACAAACCCACCTAGCTGCAAGGGATGCTGGGAAATGTAGTTCCTGGCCAGACAGGGGAGTCAGGCTTCCTGGTGGAAAGCCAGCTCTCTGTGTCTCAGTGGCTTTTTCTGGCCTCTGGCCACCTCTCTCACTTCTCCACTTTGCTCACTTTACTCTGCTCTGTTGGGTGAGTTAATTTTACAGATGAAAACCCTGAGATTGAGAGAGGTTAACTAATTTGCCCAGCATTCCTCAGCTGATTGTGGCAGGGCCAGGATTTGAATTCATCCCAAAGGCCTTGCTTGGCTACATCCTGGTTTTGGTGCTTTTCAGATACTCCATGAGCCAGCCTTTCCCACTACAGCCTCTGCCATGTCAGTAACTCCCATGTAGTTACAACCCAGCAGTCCTTTTTCTTGGGGGGGTGGTGAGTGGGCAGAGTCTCACTCTGTTGCCCAGGCTGGAGTGCAGTGGCACAATCTTGGCTCACTGCAACCTCCACCTCTTTAGTTCAAGCGATTCTCGTGCTTCAGCCTCCCAAGTAGCTGGGACTATACAGTTCGTACACCACCACGCCTGGCTAATTTTTGTATTTGTAGTAGAGATAGGGTTTCACCATGTTGCCCAGGCTGGTCTTAAACTCCTGGCCTCAAGCGATCTGCCAGTCTCGGCCTCCCAAAGTGCTAGGATAACAGGGGTCAGCCACCATGCCCAGCCACAATCCGTAAGTCCTTCTGTTTCTCCATTATATCAGCTGGAAATTGCCAGCTTTTCTCCACTTACTCGTTCATTTATGCAACACACACTTGTGCATTTATGGTGTGTGCCAGGCATTGTGCTCTGGGCAGGGAGCTGCAGAGGAATAACACACGGCCCCTTTTGTTCAAGACACTCACA